CAAATGATCAAAGTGAGCTTCTGTTGAAACTTGCAAACGATTAAAGTGTATGTGTGCGTGTGTGTGTAAGAGCATCTGTATGCTGTTTAAATGTGTCTGTGTGTGTGTGTGTGTGTGTGTGTGTTTAAATGTATGTGTATTTTTAAATGTGTGTGTGTGTGTGTGTGTTTAAATGTGTGTGTGTTTAAATGTGTGTGTGTGTTTAATGTGTGTGTATGTGTGTGTGTGATTAGATGTGCGTATGTGTTTATATAAATGTGTGTGTATGTTTAAATGTGTGTGTGTGTGTGTATAAATGTGTGTAAGTGTGTTTAACTGTGCATGTTTGGATGCGTGTGTGTGTTTAGATAAGTGTGTGTGTGTTTATCGTGTCTCTTTTAATGCATCTGTATGTCTGAGCTTCGTGCATAGGCGTAGAACTCACCAAGAAATTGACAATTCTTCCTCCCACAAATTCAAAAAAAAAATTCCAATACGAGGAATTGAAGACAGTAACGCCCGCGAGAAATGAAAAGCAAAAAAAAAAAAAAATCCAATACGAGGAGGAATTGAAGACAGTAACGCCCGCGAGAAATGAAAAGCAAAAAAAAAAAAAAAAAAAAAAAAAAAAAAAAAAAAAAAAAAAAAACAGCTGATACCAAGCTCCAGGAAATTAGTATGTTCGATTTGCATTCCGTGAAGGAACTCGCCGCCAGATAAATTGAGGAGGTCGTGGGCGGCGGCGGGTCGCTCCTTTCTCTTCCCGGTAAAAGGAGAAGATGGATAAAATATAAACAAACAAACAAAAAAAAATAAAAAATAAATAAGAAAGGAAAGGTAAAAATATAAACAAACAAACAAAAAAATAATAAAAATAAGAAAGGAAAGGTAATATAAACATAGAAAGGAAAGGTAAAATATAAACAAACAATAAAATAAATAAGAAAGGAAAGGTAAAAATATAAACAAACAAAAAATAAAATAAATAAGAAAGAAAGGTAAAAATATAAAAAACATAAAACAACAAAAAAAAAAAAATAATTAAAGAAAGGAAAAGGTAAAAATATAAACAAACAAACAAAAAAAATAAAATAAATAAGAAAGGAAAGGTAAAAATATAAACAAACAAACAAAAAAAATAAAATAAATAAGAAAGGAAAGGTAAAAATATAAACAAACAAAAAAAAAAAAGAAAGGAAAGGTAAAAATATAAACAAACAAACAAACAAAAAAAGAAAGGAAAGGTAAAAATATAAACAAACAAACAAAAAAAATAAAACAAAATAATTAAAAAGGAAAGGTAGAACATCCAGAATCAAACCCTCGAGGAAACTTCTTTTTTCTCTATCTTCTTTTTTCTTTTTCTTTTCTTTTTTCTTCTTCTTTTCTTACTTCTTCTTTTTCTTCTTTTTCCTTTTGCTTTATTTTTTCCCCCTTAACGAGAAAACTTAAAGATGTGTAATAGGAGTGATAAGCAAGATTTTTCTTCCTACTTTTTCTTCTTCTTTCTTCTTCTTCTTCTTCTTTCTTCTTTCTTTACTTCTTCTTTTTTCTTCTTTTTTCTTTTCTTTTTTCTTTTTTCTTCTTCTTCTTTCTCTTCTTCTTCTTCTTTTCTTATTCTTCTTCTTTTTCATTTTGCTTTACCTTTTTTCCCCTTAACGAAGTATTCACTCTTGAAAGTTTTGAAGGTCAAAGGTCAAGCAATGAGGCAACAATACTAACAATACCTTCCCTTATCCAATGCCTTTATATGGCGTTCGGGATCAAGTTATGAAGTTCAATCATAGTTACGCATTACAATTAAATCAGATATAAAAGAAAAAAGGTATGAATGAGAATGAGAATATCTTCCCGATGCAAGTGATGTATTTGACCGGTTTCGTATATATCTAAGTCAGATATATTCAAATACATTTTTGGTATTTTTGATATATTCAAATACATCTTATGTGAAGATATTTATTATATCATTATAGCAGATATATTGTATTATAATATTATAGCAGATATATTATAGTATAATATTATATCAGATATATTCAAATACATCTTTTGTGAAGATATTTATTCTCATTCATACTTTTTTTCTACATTTGTCAACTTGAATATAGTTTATAGCAGATATATTAGGTCATATTACATCTTTGGTGAAGATATTTATTTTCATTCATACTTTTTTTCTACAATTGAATACACTTTATAATTTATATATTACGTCAAATTACGGATAGGTAATTTTGCTAAACAATCATGGCTAACTTAAATATATTATGTTACGGATAGGTAATTTTGCTAAACAATCATGGCTTTTCCCTAACTACGAAACTAAATATATTATGTCATATTACGGATAATTTTGCTAAACAATCATGGCTTTTCCCTAACTACGAAACTAAATATATTATGTTTATTACGGTAATTTTGCTAAACAATCATGGTTTTTCTCTAACTACGAAACTTAAACGTGGGTGTTTTGGATGATTCCGTGAAGTCAAGGAGAGAGAAAAGCCAAGAGGAAAAGCCAGCATGAGGAGAGTTCATGTCACGTCTTTGGGGACAGTATTCACCACTTGCACCTCACACCCTCTCCTCTCACACCCTTTATCGTGACACTTTTCCCTAATACCCTTTCCTTTCACACCCTTTCCCCTCATACCTTTCCCTCATGACCCTTATGCCTGAGACACTTTCTCCTCACAGCTTCTCACACACCTTTAACTTGATGCACTGACACTTTCCCTATAACCTTTCCTTTCATAACGCACACCCTTTCCCCTCATACCCTTATCCTGACACTTTCTCCTCACATCCTTTATCACACCCTCTCCTTTAACACACTTTATCGGGTGACAACCTTTTCCCTAATACCCTTCCTCTTCGCATACCCTTTCCCCTCATACCCTTATCCTGACACTTTCTCCTCACACCCTTTCCCTTACAAAATCTTTTTTCCTCTCCACCTCTTCCCTCCACTTAACGTTGAAGCTACCCCTTATCTTGACGCCTTGTCGGGTCCCTCACATCCTGTCCCCGAGTTACTCCTGGAAATCGAGTATTTTCTTAATTATTAGGAAAACAAGAGAGGTGGTGAAATGACGTCAATATTAAAACAGAAACATTTGATACTGATAAACCTAAAATTCAGGAAACTCAAGAGGAAAATCAGGGTGAACATTGCAGTTGAAGTCTGCAATAAAGTGAAAATTGAAAAAAAAAAAAAATGTCAATTGTAAACGTTACCTTTTATCTCTTTGTCGCTACTGAAGGTGGTAAAAAGAAGAAGAAAAAAAAATAGAAAATGAACTGCTAAACCTATTCACGCAGACTTTCCAAACCCGGTCTTCGCGAAAATTAAATCCCTTTTTTCCTGTGAATTCTGATTATAACCTGATTGATCTGATAGACTCGTCAGTCCTTTCCCTTAATGCAGGTATGAGACTCGCCCCGTGTCAAGGTCGGGCCTCTGACAGAGTGAGACAGTGTGGTGGATGGAGCGGTGGACGGTAATAAGCTGGCTGGGGTTGCGGGGGGATGGTGGCGCGTGCGTGAGGGGAGGGCGCGGGCGGGGGAGAGGCGGGGGGGAAGCGGGGAGAGGGGGTGGCGGGGCGGTGGAGTGGTGGCGTGGGGGAGTAGGGAGGGGAGGGGGAGCGGGGGTGGAGGTGGGGGCGGAGGGAGCGAGTGTGTGCGGGGGGAGAGAGTGGCAGGCGGGGGGGGGGGGGCGAGAGGGGTGGTGGGGCGAGGGGGGGAGAGGGGGGGAGGGGAGCGGTAGAGAGGGGCGTGAGAGAGAGAGAGGAGAGAGGAGAGAGAGGAGGAAGGAAGTGAGGAGATTGTGTGTGAGTGCGAGTGGGGGGAGGGTTTGCGGGGAGGGTGGGGTGAGTGGGGGGGGCGGAGGAGGGGCGGGGGGAGGTGAGGGTGGGGGTGAGGAAGATAGAAGTGGGGAGGGGGTGGAGAGGCGGGAGGGTGGGTGCAGGGGGGTGGGAGGGGGATGAGGGGGGGGAGGTGGGTGTGAGGTGTGGGGTGGAGGGAGGGGTGAATGAGGTGGGGTGGGGCAGTGGCAATGGGGGAAGACGGGGGTGAGTGTGGGGGGGGTGCAGTGAAGGGTTGGGAGTGGTGGGTGGGAGTAGTGTGGGGGGCGGAGGGGGGGGCGGGCGGGGAGGGCGGGCGGGGGGGAGGGGGGGGGGTGGGTGGGGCGTGGGGAGGGGGGAGGTGGGCGTGGGGGCGGTGGGTGGAGGGGCAGGGGAGTGGGAGCATGGGAGGGGGGGTGAGGAGAGGGTGGGGGGGAGGGGGGGGGGCGGGGGGGGCTGAGGAGGGGTGGAGAGGTGGGTGGGTCAGGTGGTAGGATGGGGGCGGGCTGAGAGCAGGGAGGGGTGGCGGGACGGGAGGGGGGGGGGTCGAGAGTGTGAGGCTGGCCGGGTGGGGTGGGGATGGATGGGGGTGGAGAGAGGGGGTGGGAAGAGGGGCATGGGAGGAGGGCTGGGGGCGGGGGTTGGGGGGGGGGCGAGGGGAGGTGAGGTGGTTTTCTGTCAAGTGTGTGCGTGTTTTTTTTTTTTTTTTTTTTGGTTCTTTTGTTTGTTTCTTATATTATTCTATTTCTTTTATTTTTATTTTCTTTTGTTCTTATGTCTCTATCTATCTATATGTATCGTTCGTTAGCTTCTCTGCTCATATACCTTCTCATTTACGGACAGCGTCACCATCATCGTAAAAGAATGCGACGGCGTTACAGGCCGTAACGCAGGTCTCGCTATAACACGAACTGCGACGATACAAAAGCAAAGAACAAAAACAAAAAAAAAAAAAAAAAGGTTAACCAAATTAAAACAGAGGGAAGAAAGTAAGGGGGGGTGGGGGGGATGCAAAACGCAGAATCGTCTCTCAATTATCTATCTCTCTCTCCTACTATTCTATCTATTTATTGTATCATATCTATCTATTTCTCTCTCTCTCTCGAACCCTCGGTCTTCCTCCCTCGACCTCCCTCTCCCACCCGTTCCAACTTCCATCCTGCTCCTCGCTGACCGATGCCTCAGTTATCAGGGGGACTCGGTATGGCAGTGAGCAGCGATTGCTGGAGGTAAACGCTCGACTCGAAAGCAAGAGCCCTTCCTCCCCTCCCTTCTCCCTCTCTTCTCTCCTCTCCACTTTGGCACTCGAGTGCCATTCTTTTACCCTACTCCGTGAACAGGAAGGCTCCTGACGCGAGTCCCGGAATTTACTACCCTTCCCCTCCCGTCCCGTCCCTCCCTCCCACCTTCCAAGCTCCTTGAGCCCTCCTCCCGCCGACTTCCTCGCCTCCCCCGCATCGCCGATCATTGTCTCACCTTACCCGGTCCTTCCGTCCCTCGCGTCCGTCTGGCCCTCTCCTCCATGACCCTCCCTCTCCATCCTTCGCCTCCGCGGTCGCCCATCCCTCCATCGCCTCCCACCTTCCGTCCTTCCCTCCTCGCCTCCGCTCCCTCTTCCATCCCTGGCCCGACTTCTCCCTCCCCTCCCTCCTTCCATCCTCCTCCACCTCTTCGTCTCATCCTCCGCACTTCCCACACTTCCCGTCCATCCCTCCCACCTTGCGTGGTCCTTCCCTCGCCTCCTCTGCCCTCGGAGCATCCATCCTCCATGGGGACTGCCCTGCCTCCCTCCCCTCCTTCCTCCGCTTCCATCCGTCCCTCTTACCCTCCCTCCGCCTCCCTCCTTCCTCCCTCCTCCTCCATCCCTCCCCTCCTCTTCCATCCTCCCTCTCTCCCTCTCTTTCTCCTCCATCTCCTCCCCTCCCTCCTCCTTCTCCCTCTTCCCTCCTCTCCCTCCTCCTACCTTCCCTCCTCCCCCCTCCCTCCTCCTCTCTCTCTCCCTCCCTCCTCCTCCATCCCTCCTCCCTCCCTCCTCACCTCTCTCCTTCCCTCTCCTCCCTCCTCCCTCCTTCCTCCTCCCGGATTACTACCTGCGAGTTTCGTCCCATCTCGAAGGTTTACGATATCTTACGTCTGGTCTTGAAAGGGGGAGGCCGATGGCGGAGTTCTGGGTTTTGCTGCAAAGGGATTCGCCGATTTTCATCTGCATTATTTTCCCCTTTCGCTGTTGAGAGCTTAATGATGCCTTTTGCTCGGATATCACCTTCCCAGTCTCGGTGTCTGTCTGTTTGTTTGTTTGTTTGTTTGTCTGGGTATCTGGGTATCTGTCCGTTTGTGTGTGTCTGTCTACCTGTCTGCTCTATTGGGTATCTGGGTATCTGTCCGTTGTGTGTGTCTGTCTACCTGTCTGTCTCTATTGGTCTGGGTATCTGTCGTTTGTGTGTGTCTGTCTACCTGTCTGTCCTATTGGGTATCTGGGTATCTGTCCGTTTGTGTGTGTCTGTCTACCTGTCTGTCTCTCTGGGTATCTGGGTATCTGTCCGTTTGTGTGTGTCTGTCTACCTGTCTGTCTCTATGCTTGTATCTTCTCTTCTGTGTTTCTTTGTAGGTATCTGTTTATCTAACTATCCATCTATTTATCTATTTTGTATCTATCTATTCGTCTGTCTTACTTATCCATCTATGGATCTATTTCTCCATATTGATTTCTCTTTCTCTCTTTCTCTTTCTCTCTCTCTCTCTCTCTCTCTCTCTTCTCTCTCTCTCTCTCTCTCTCTCCTCTCTCTCTCTCTCTCTCTCTCTCTCTCTCTCTCTCTCTCTCTCTCTCTCTCTCTCTCTTTCTCTTTGTTTCGCCCCTTTCTCTATCGCTTTATTTATCTATCTGTTTCTCTTTCGTATGATTAATTTCCAGTGATCTAAACTCATGTATAAGTTCGTACGATTGAAATGAGGAAAATGAGACTAGTTATCAAACGACATTCCTTTCACCCAATTGCTTCGTTGTGACTTTGGCTTAATTACGACTAGAACCATCTCCACCCTTTGTCGACCCCGTGTTTAGTACTGTTTGTTGTATCCGTCCAATATAAATCTAAAACTACACGATGAAGTTTACGATTAGACGAAAAGAAAAACCACGAAACCAGATCCCCTGACTTTGACTTAAGCTTGACAGAAAGCCGCAAATCCGAAAGGCTTTCGATCTGTGTTAATCAAAACGGGACAGCCGAAGCCGAAGCCCAGGCCAAGCGGTGAAGTGTTAGGATCCATTACTGTTGTGACTTTGATGTCAGATTGTCAGTGTTCGGGGAATGGCGGAGGAGACCACTTCGTCGTGATGAGATCTGCTTTGTAATCTGAGTTAGAGTTAACTTGCATTAATACAAACACCTGCGCGCTAGTTATGGTACGCGCGCGCGGGTACAGATATATAGGTGTATTAGAGAAATAATTGAAATTGTGCCTTGGAGGTAATTTTGCTGTTGGATAAAAGAAAGGATTCGGGTTGTTGCTTTTTTTTACGGTATTGTGTTATTTGGGGGGGATGCCAGATATGGAATTCGATATTAGTTGGTGTTCTGTGCAGACTCTCTCTCACACACACACACTCGCTCGCTCACTTGCACACACTTTAGCACTAACTTCCACGCACGCACATACACACACACACACGCAAACACACACACACACACACACATACACAACACACACACACACACACACACACACACACACACACACACACACACACACACACACACACACACACCACAACACACACACACATTAATACACACACACATATACACACACATACGCACACACATATATAAACGCATACATCCACACATCCACACACATATACACACATATACACACACATTTACAGACAAATACAGTTACACATACATTCACATACATACAAACACGTACACAAACCCGCACATACATACACAAATACACACGCACACAAATATACACTCATATGTATGTTTATAGATATAGATGCACATATATGTATATATATATATATATATATATATATATATATATATATATATATATATATATATATATATATAATAGTGTGTGTGTGTGTGTGTGTGTGTGTGTGTTGTGTGTGTGTGTGTGTATATATATATATATATATATATATATATATATATATATATATATATATATATATATATATATATATATATATATACATGTATATAGTATAATACATTCATATTTACCCCAATTTCGAGCAATCTGCCTCGTTCCCTTCCGCTTGCGCCAAGCCCTAGCCTGAAGGCAGCGCAAAGCATAAGAGAAAACCTCATTTCCACCGCCAAATATAATCAATTTAGCTCGGTAAGAGAAGGTGGAAGGGTGTTTAAAACTGCCCCGGGCCTCGGCATGGGAAAGTCACCTCTGTAGCTCGGGGAAGTAAGGATGTTTCTTCCCTGGCAGCGCTGACGTCCTCCCTCTTTTTTTTTTCTTTCTCTCTCTCTCTCCATTCGGTGATTCGAAAAGGTGTGATGGAATTATATTCGCCTTTGAGGTGTTTAATTCTCTTGGGTTGTGTTTTCTCCTGCCGTGTCTGTCTTCTCTCTCTCTCTCTTTGCGGAGGAGAAAGTCGTGGGTGTTTTGCTGCGAAAGAAAAAGTAGGAAAAAAATGTTTTTTACAGATTTACTGACATTCCTTTGTTATTTCTGTTGTTTTTTGTTAATAATAATGTCGTAGTTTGTAATCACTACATCCTGATAAGCTTGTGTATACATGTAAATAAGAATTATGATAATAATGAAAAAAAAAAAAAATAAAATAAACTATACCAAATAAAAAAAAAGAATAAAAAATAAAAAAGAAAGAAAAAACACGCTACACAGATAACCATACCCTAGTCGACGATAGAAAAAAAAAAACATATACATAAAAATTCATGCAATGTTTACACAGTTGTGCACGCACTGAACACGAAACACAAAAGGAAGGGTTATCAATCTTTCTTTCCCTCTCCTCTCTCTATTTTTTTATTCCTTCTCTTATTTATCTTTTCTCTCCCTCTTTTCTTTTTCTCTCTTCTTTTTTATCCGAATCGATAAACAACCAACAGACATGCACTTGCCATTAGAATTTACACCGACATGAGCTGATGGCTAGAGTGACGTCACGTGACACGGAAAATTCAATTACAAGGGGAGACTCAACTACGTTTCTGTAATGTGCCTTGAAGTGGAATAGTGTGGAGGAGAAGGGAAGAGGAAGCTGGCCCATTTTTCATATTATTTCTGTGCCTTTTGAAATGAATTGGTGATGTTTGCGTTTGTCCTTTTCTTTCCCGAGTTTTTTATTTTTTTTTTTCTACGTCTGTTTGTTTTGTATGTCTGTGTGTGTTGTCTGCCTCTCTCTATCTCTCTCGCTCGCTCTCTCTCTCTCTCTCTCTCTCTCTCTCTCTCTCTCTCTCTCTCTCTCTCTCTCTCTCTCTCTCTCTCTCTCTCTCTCTCTCTCTCTCTCTCTCTCTTTCTCATCCATCTCTGTGTGTGTGTACCTATCTGTCTATGCCTTGTCTCTCATTTTCATAAGTTATCATATTTCCCTTTCTGCACATCTTCCTCATACACATCTGTCTCCCCAAACTTCGCATAGAATTATATCTACCACTATCCCCCTCTTTCCTTTACGAAAGAACGAATAAACTAACCACACAAAAAAAAATGATAATAACAATAATTAATTCATTAATCTAACTTCTGCCTCTTTTTTTTACGTTCCAGTGTCCAGCCCTTCTTTCGCTCTCGGTGAGACCAACGTCAAAGTGCCTATAGGTCGTGACGCTATTCTCAACTGCACCGTGCACAACTCAGGCAGCCACAAGGTAGGTTTTGTGTCTTATGCTGTCTTGTGTGCGTGGGTGTTTTTGTGTGTGTGTTGTGTGTGTGTGTGTGTATGTGTGTATGTATAGTTGTTTGTGGTTATGAGTACATTTATATATGAAGAAATTTTGGCAAGCGCAAACACACTCTCTCTGTCTGTCTGTCTGTCTGTCTCTCTCTCTTCTCTCTCTCTCTCTCTCTCCTCTCTCTCTCCTCTTCTCTTCTCTCTCTCTCTGCTCTCTCTCTCTCTCATCTCTCTCTCTCTCTCTCTCTCTCATCTCTCTCTCTCTCATTCTCTCTCTCTCTCTGTCACACGCACACACACAGACACACCCTCACACACACACACACAACACAGTCCACCCTTCACACACACACACACTGCGCGTGTACGTGACGATAAAACAAACCCCAACCCAAGGAGATCCGAGCAGTGACTTCCGAGGAGGCCGCAGAGGAACCCGACTGGGATGGCCTTCGTTAATGGCTCTGTTTATCTCGGTCCCTTTTCGCCTTCCCTTCGGTCCCTGCGCTCGTGTCAGGCTGTCTGTCTGTCGTGTCTGTCTGTCTGCTCGTCTTTTGTGTCTGTTGGTTCTGTGTCTGTTTGTTTTGTTTTGTTTTGTGTGTCCGTTGGTTGTTCTGTGTGTTGTTATTCTGCTGTTCTGTGTGTCAGGCTGTCTGTTTGTCTGCTCGTCTTTTGTGTCTGCTGTGTCTGTTTGTTTGTCTGCCTGTCTTGTGTGTCCGTCGGTTTTTTCTCTGTGAATCTGGCCTGTATGTCTGTCTCTGTGTGTTGTGGTCTGGTGGTGTCTGCTGTCTTGTGTGTATGTTGGTTGTTCTGTTGTCTGCTGTTCTGTGTGTCTTCTTGTTCGGTGTATCTGCTGTTCTGTGTGTCTGTTTGTCTGTCTGTATTGTGTGTCCGTCGTTGTTCTGTTTGTCTGTCCTTTTCTCTGCTGATCTGCCTGTCTTGACTACAGACCTGTCTTGTCTGTCTGCTTGCCTTCTTGTCTGTTTCCCTGTCTGCCTGTTTTTCTGCCTGTCTATTTGTCTGTTTCTTTTTTTTCTGATTTTGCATGTATGTATAATAAGCTCATGCATGTGTAAGTATGCGTGGAAGCGAGCATGGAGAGTTGGACAGATGGATGGATGAATGTATATATGTATGCGTATTTACATTCGTTCTCTCTTTTTCCCTCCCCTTTTCACTTTCTCTTTCGCTTTCAAACTCCCTCCCCTTCTTTTTTCTTCTCTTCTTCTTCTTCTTCCTTCTCTTTCTTCTTCTTCTTCTTCTTCTTCTTCTTTCTTCTTCTTCTCTCCTCCTCCTCCTCCTCCTCCTCCTACTGTTCTCTCCTCCTCCTCCTCCTTCTTCTTTCTTCCTTTTCTCCTCCTCCTCCTGCCTCTTCCTTCCTCCTCCTCCTCCTCCTCCTCCTCCCTCTCCTCTTCCCTTCTCCTCCTCCCTTCCTCCTCCTCCACCTCCTCCTTCCTCTCCTCCTCTCCTCCTCCCTCTCTCTCCTCCTCCCTCCTCTCCCCCTCCTCCTCTCTCCTCCTCCCTTCCCTTCCTCCCTCTCTTCTTTTTTTTCCTTTCCTTTTCTCGAATCAGGAAAATCATTAATAAGATTAGACTCCAGACACACTCTCAGCTGGAGGTAATAATCAAAACACAACGAACACACTGGACTTGACCTCTGAACAACGAATTAGTTTTAACACTCGTGCAAAGGGTGTGAATAAGCAATGACCGTAGTGTGAGTTGCAGATTCGCGATTCTGGAGTTGCAATGATACGCTGGCATTGAGTCTTTTTCATTAGCTCGTCCTCTGTCTCTGTCTCTCTCTCTCTCTCTCTTTCTCTCTCTTTCTGTCTTTCTTCTTTTTCTCTCTCACTCTCTCCTCTCTCTTTCTCTCTTTTCTCTCTCTTCTCTCTCTTCTCTCCCTCTCCTCTCTCTCTCTGTCTCTCTCTTCTCTCTCTTCTCTCTCTCTCTCTCTCTCTCTCTCTCTCTCTCTCTCTCTCTCTCTCTCTCTTTCTCTCTCTGTTCTCTTCTCTTCTTCTTCTTTCTCTTTCTCTCTCTCTCCTCTCTTCTCTCTCTCTCTCCTCTCTCTCTCTCTCTTCTCTCTTCTCTCTCTCTCTCTTTCTCTCTCTCTCTCTTTCCTCTCTCTCTCTCTCTAAATATACATACATACATACATACATACATACATACATACATACATACATACATACATACATACATACATGCACATACAACAAAAATATATATACATATGCCTGAGCCGAGTTTTATCCGCGCAGATTTTCAGCTAAGATAACAAACAGCTGACCAGGTGAATGAGTGGATTACTATCTTTGCAATCACGATTCCACTCAAACATTCCAGTGTTCTGTCCTCTTAAGTGAAACGATTTTGAAGTCGAGTTTTTTTACGTGGGTGTGACTGCAAGGTGTTTCCGAGGGTTTGAAATAAAAAAGAAGGATTCCAATCACATCAGAACCGTTTATGAAATACTTTTAACCGAATGAGTTATTTCGAAATGGATCGTTCAAGCTGTTGTTTTTTTTTTTTTTAGGGTCAGAGCACGGTGGGGACAAGATTTATGTGGAGGATGTCTCTTCGGATCACTTATCTTCAATGTGTTTCCCTGAATTTATCTCCGCGCGGATGCTCTGTCCTGAATACTGAGCTTTTCCCCCGAATATAAACTCCTACAACACAGAAAGGAAAATAAAATAGAATCGAGAAAAAAAAAGAAATGTAAAAACAAAGCAATTTTTACAAGCTTCCCTCCCACATAGATCACAGAGCGGAGCCAAAAAAAAAGGCGCACATTTTGGCCGATTTATAGGACTTGCTGTGTTAGAAATAAGGGGATTATAAGGGGATTATCTAGTCTATTACTACCTGGACTTTTTTTTCTTCTTCCTGGTTTATGGAAACAAATTGGGATTATTTTCCTCTTTTTTTTTTTTTCTTTTTTTCTTTTCTTTTTTTTTCTCTTAGTCGTCTGACTTGAAAGATTTGCGGGAAAAAAAGTATTTGCAAAAAAATTTAGCCATCTACACGCCCCTTGTTTGTAGGGTTCAGTAGGAAGCTTGGATAAAAAGAAGGGAAAAAGAGGGGGACGTAAAATGGATAAAGAACAGGATCAGAAAGTAAACTGGGAATAACGGGGGAGAATAAAAGAGAAGAGGGAGAGGACGTGGGAAGAGGAACAATAAAAGAAGGGATGGATGAGAGAAAAGAAGGGATAAGAGAAAGGATTAGGTTAACGAAAGACCAGAAGGTAAAAACTGGGAAGAGAGAGAGAGAGTGGGGAGGATAGAAAGGTGAAATGAGAGAGAGAGGATGGACGAGAGAAAGGGAGATAAATGAGAAAACGTGTGAGAGAAAACATAAAAAAAAAGTGAAAGACGAAAAGATAGACAAAGAAACATTGAGTCGAAAAGAAAACACACAAAAAAACATCAGGAAAAAAATGACGAGCAACATAGAGAGAGAGAGAGAGAGAGAGAGAGAATCCCCTTTGAACAAACCGGCAGATTTTCATTTAGGTTTGCTTGATGCAAGAGATTAATCTGAACAGAACAGATGGTATCGGTCGAGAAGCTGAATTACAGCGTTTGTGTGTATTCTGGTAAATGGGGGGAGGGGGGGGTAGGAGGAGGGGGGGGGGGGGGGGGTGGGGGTGGGAGGGGCTTTGTGTGAGGGAAAGGGAGAGTAGGTGTTGTGTTTGTGGTGTTTGTGTGTGTGTGTTTGTGTGTGTGTGTTGTGTGTGTGTGTGTGTGTGTGTGTGTGTGTGTGTTTGTCTGTGTTTGTTGTGTGTGTGTGTGAGTGTTGTTTGTGTGTTTGTCTCTACTTGTACTTTGTGTGTGTGTGTTTGTGTGTTTGTTACGTGTACGTGTGTGTGTGTGTGTGTGTGTGTGTGTGTGTGTGTGTGTGTGGTGTGTGTGTGGTGTGTGCGTGTGTGTGTGTGTTGTGTGTACGTATGCCTTTGTGTGTGTGTGTGTGCGTGCACTCTCCGCACTCTCCTTAACATCTTTACGTAAATCTGCGTTTGCATGTATAATTTTCAGACGATTTCAAATGACATTTTTTAAACCTAATCTTCTTCACCTATTTGCATTCAATTATCCTTCTCTGTGCTTTTTATCTCTTGACTAAAGTAAATGTAAAAAAACATACAAATACACATGACACAGACATGCATATACACACACGTCCTCAAATACATACATGCACACACACACAGATATACTCCTCACATAAATCACGTCTCACACACACACACACACACACACACACACACACCACACACCACACACACACACACACCACACACACACACACACACACACACACACACACACACACACACACACACCACACACACACACCACACACAACACACACATATATATATATATATATATATATATATATATATATATATATATATATATATATCACAGAAACACTTACACAAACACATCCACACACTCATACACACATGGTCGAATTCGGTAATAAAACGCAAAGCAATCTACCTACTTGTCATTAAATCATCAAAAAATGTATAGTTCCTTTCGAGTCAAAAAAAAAAAAAAAAAAAAAAAAAAAAAGTATAATAAAATAATGAAAAGAAAAAATTGGGAAAAACAGAAGGACAACCAACGAAAGACTTGGAAGAGACAAACAAGGCCAGTGGAACGCTATAATGAAAGTCAAAGACACAGATAACGAAATACGGAGAAAGTTTGAAGGAGGCGCTTAACAACAGGCAGGGGGTGGGGAGGGGGGGGGTCGACGAAGTGCAGCTCGCATGGTAAAATTCATGGTAGAATTTCATGGGGGTCAAGAATACCTCATCGTAGTGGTTTTTTAATGGTTCCAAGATATTATGAAAAGAAAAACAAAAGATACCAAGATTTTACGAAAAGAAAAAGAAAACAAAAATTCATGGTAGAATTTCATGGGGGTCAAGAATACTGAATTTCTGTTGGGAAAACCATC